TTGGTGTGGGGAACAAAGGGAGAAGTTGGATGACAAAATTCCCACTGCAGGAGCAGTTGCTGTGTCCAGTGGCAGCAGTGCTCAGTGTACACAGCCTAGGGTTTGGTTCAGGTTCTGCCGTTAAGTAGCTGGGTGCCTTTGGGCGACTCATTTGGCTATCTTGGGCCACCATTTTGTCTTCTGCAAAATAGGAGGATACAAACACTAATAACTGTTTCTAGCCTGCAATTCTAATAGCTCTTTGAGAGAGCAGTTAAGGTCTAAGGTTACTGAATCCTGCCAGACAGCCCAAAGTGACTCGTGGTTAGCCCAGACTGACGGGGTGCAGCTCTTAGGACTAGGGAGGTGCCGGTGACCGAGGCAGGACACTAGATAACTTGAAGGGAATAACTGGTCTTTTGCTGCAGCTCCATGAAGCTCAGGCCACCTGCGGTGACCCTGGACCTACTCCTAGATGTCTCTGGCCATCAGCAGTTGAACCCCACACCAACTGCACTAGTCAAGAACACATACTGGGAGCAAATCTCTGCCCTGCTGGACACTGCAGTGTGGCTTCTGTGGAAGAGGTTCAGCAGAAGTCGCACTGCCAGGCCCAGGGAGGGAAGGATGGCTCATGGTCCTCCCTGCTGCTGCTTTCTGAGTCCAACACTGGCCCAGGAAGTGAGCCAGCTGAGGTGGTGGCAGGCTCAGAATTCCAAAAGCTTCCAGAAATCCAGGGTACAATGTGGCCACTCCAATCACTGGCACGCCTGCAAGCCTCCAACCCAGGTGGCTAGGAAGAAGGCGGGTGAGAGGGTTCCCCAAAAGGTCTTTCATACCAAAGTACAGTTTGTCTCCCTCTGCTCTCTGCCAAGGGATTTCCCGGCTCCTCCTGCTGTGCTGCCTGTACCTGGAAGAGGGCCATTTTCCACCCTCAAGGTGGCTGCCCTGGGCTCTGTGCCCTGTCCACATGACCTGTGGGCGGTCCGTCTGTCAGTCAGCAAGCACCTAGGCCTCCCATTGCTTCCTGCCCCCTCCTCTTGGCCTTGGGCTGGAGTGAGGATGATGGTGGCAGAGGGCTCTTCAAGAAGGTCTGCTCAGGACTTCCTCTGCAATGTGCGGAGGACAAATCGCCTGTAACCTATACCCTGCATGGGTGACTCACCTTCCAGGGAAAGTGCTCTGCTCACCTAAGCCAAGCTACTTGGAAAACGACTAAGGCACCCATCGAGCACAGTGCGTGGGGCTGGCTGGGGCCTGGGTGGCATCCAGACACTGCTTCTCCCCTCAGCCTGAAGTCAAGAGCAGCTGCCACTGCAGGCTGCCACTTTCATTTTCCTCCGAAGCAAGCTCCACACGAAGCTTGACATCCGGTGATCTATTTTTTCTAAAAACAAGGTTCACTTTAGAAATGACTCTTTGGCCCTCAAGACAATTTCCCCAAGGGAAAACAAATTGTTATTTAAAGGGAATGCCAGTCAGGTAGAGACCTATATTTTTGTTTTGTGGTAAGGTGGAAAAAAGAATTTAAAATCTAGTATGAATTTTTTCTTGTGAGATTTAAGAGAAATCGGCAAGGCCTGACTGTTGATCCAGGGCTCCCAGACCTGGCAGGGGAGATAAGGTGACAAGACTTGGTTAGGAGGGAGAAGTCGGGTGAACTGGGATGCCCTGTGGTGGTGAGACCCTCCCCTCACAGAGCCAAACAAGCCTGCCTGGGCCCCCAGACAAAAACTGAGTCCTGTTGCTTTGTATTTACACAGATTCTCCTTTGTCTCACCCCTGGAGTCCATGCTGCTGGGGCTGGTACACCACATGCAGGACACCAGGGAGTCCTGGACAGGTCCAGCCCCGCTTGTGGCCTGGAGTCCCAGAGCCCCACGGGTGCCCACTGTTCAGGGCACCGACTCTTACTGGGCAGGGCCCGGGACTCTAGTCTCAGAGAGTGCAGTGAGGGTGGAACGGAGTGCAGGCGAGAACTCAATGGCTTAAACCTCCAGGGTGGAGAAACATTCCCCTGCAGGTCCTACTGAGAAAATGACTGCTCTATCAGGCAGCCTGAGCCTTCTTAACATCGTTGTACAGAAAACAGATCTGTCACGAGGCAGTAATCAGTGACTGCACCTAGTGCTACTACTGCTACTCCGAACAACAACAGGAACAGCAGTGACAGCTGCTCAGCACTTCCGCCCCCTCATTTCCTTCTACTTAAAGCTGCCCCTGAAACACTTTGGATCCCACTGACAGGGGAGGTACAGGGCGCTCAGAGAAGTGAGGACTAGCCTGAGGGCACACAGCAGCAGACCATCTGGGATGGGATGGCAGACTGACCTATCTGCCTCAGTTTGTGCCTCTGGAAAATGGGAATAAGCAGACCTGTCTGTATGATAAGCTACTCATCTTTTGGTGTTTTATTAATTAACAGTAGCAATAGTTAATTATGAATATCAATTAACAATTGTTACAGTAAGTAGATAAAGCTGCTTCCCTGCTTTAGTTAAGTTCAAAATTGATACCTTTTTTGGGGAAAAACCTCACTCTGATCCTTTCTTGAGCATGTTAGTGGAAAAAGCAGTAAACTAGATGCCAAGAAAAGTGGATTTCGATTCCAGGTGTGACACTAATTTCCTAAGTAACCCTGTCTACTTTATTCTCCTCCTAGGGTTCACTTTTCTAAAATCGGTGTCCCTTCTTTCTTCATATAAAGACTAAGAAAATTCAAAGGGTGCCTGCGAAGCTACTCCTCACGCAGTGTCAAAGGATTTACACCAGGGAGCTGAAGGATTAAAGGATGTAAAACAGAAAGAAAGGAAGAGGACTCTTTAAATCCAAAGGAGAATATACAGGCACTGAGGAATACACTTTCTGGACCGTTGCTCAGGCAACAAGAGGGGCCAGAGTGAGGGCCCAGCCTCAAGCCCACTGTCTCCTGGTCTGCCGCACCAGCACCAGGATGGCAGAGGGCCGGCTCCAGACACCCCGCCCCGGAGCACACTCAGCCCGCTTCGCCCTCCCGAAGACCTCTGCAGGGCTGCCCGACTTATCCTGAGGCCTCCGGAGTCCACTCCCCGACTGCCCCACTCCTCCCATTTCACACGGGTGCCATCAAAAGTGCTCAGATGTTTCCAGTTTAACTGAAACACTAAAATGGGGCAAACAGGAAGCATCAGACACAACTGCGGTAGTGACTTATTAATCACGAAAGCAAAATTTTAGTTGTATTTTAACCTTTTGCTAGGAAAAAAAAAAGCAGCTTTGAGATGATGGACACCACTGGCAGAAATATGCTGCCCATGTGAGTGTCAAACTGCCTTCATTCAGCTTTTTATTTAGGACTGAATTTGGTTGTAAGACACCCCATCCCCTTCTATCAAGGTGACCAGGATGAATCTGTCAGCTCTTTTCACAAGGCAGGCGGCCTGTAACAAGAGCCCATGTGCTCTCCACAGGAACAGGAAAAACAAAACTAAAAGTGACTTCACAGCCAAAGTGACCTAGCACCCTTCAGAGGGACCTGGACGCACGACACACAACCCTGGGAAAACTCTGGTCTCTTTCACACCTCTGCAGTTCTCTCTCCCCGCCGGCCTCCCGGCCAGGAGCCCAGCAGAACCCTTATCACAAAGGACTCTCGGCAGCTGCCTCGGGCTGCACACCCAATCAGGGTGAGTTCTCTTCTCAGCACTCAGTGAAACACAAACACTCCGGGCAGATCACAAAGGAGCCAGTGTTCATCAGGAGAACCAAAATGAGGAACCAAACATCCATCTGTTGAAGTGAAATAGATGTTTAACAGATGAAGGCTCTTTGGCAGGGTCTGCCTGGGGTGCCCCTCCCACAAACTCTAACAGACAACACCAGAGGCAAAATCCCCGTTCAGAACTGCTCCCTATAATCAGAAAACAATCAGCAGAAGACTACAACTTGGCAGCTTCGGGCGGTCTGATTTCACAAACTGCCGGTACCTACTTCTGGGTATATATACCCGGGTACAAAGCCAGACATTCACTTTTCTTTTGAAATCTTCTTAGAAGTTCATCACACCCTTCCATATAAATGAGGATGTCTTAAACATGTCTGAAAAGCTCAGAAGTCTGGCATCACTCCAATGGAAAGAACTTTGACATCACTTAAAAATATCAAGAGAAAATCCAAACACATCCTAAGCAAGGCAAACACCTTGAAAGTGTCCTCTCACAGCAAGAGGTGAACAGCAGCCCCAACATTCCTCCTCCTGCCTCCTTCGGACTTGTTCCGTGGTCCTAACCCTCCGGCCTGGCCGGGCATCACCTAGTGCAGAGCCGGCCAGGCCAGTGCCCATTTCGCCAGGCCGAGGACGGAGGTCGCAGGGATGACGCTACTGCTAAGTTCAGAAGAAGTCTCCCTCTGATCCTCCAGGAAGCTCGTGTTTCTAGGCATGGATTTTCAAGTTCCCTTCGCATAAACTTCGGCCTATCTCTCGTGCCACGGTCCTACCTGCGTTTCCTTTCACTCACTTTTAGTGGCGTCCTTCATCAAGTGTCTCTGCTTAACAAAAATAACCTTGTCATCGACACCAGTGGTTTCTGCACCTTTTCTCCGTTGACCCTTTCTTCCCTACACTCGAGCCCAGCGCCCTTCGGACGGCTAGTAACACTTCCACCCCAATCCGGAGGCTTTCCCTGAAGCAACCGAGCTGCAGGGAGGTGCCGGGCAGGCGGGAATCCCGGTCTGCCCGAGTCGCGGGGCCGCCAAGGCTCCCGGTGGGGGTGACACCAGCGCGGGCCCAGTCCTGAGTGGGTTGGGCGCGGGAGGCCGGCTTCGCCCGCCGCGGGTCCACAGCAACCCCAAGCCCGGGCCAGGCCGGGCAAAGCGGGCCCGCGCGGGGGCGTGCGGACATGGGCTCCAGGCCCTCCGCGAGCCGATCCCGCTAGCCCCACGCACGCGGCAGCCAGGCCGCAACTCGGCCCCAAGCTGAGCGCGACCCAGCCCGCCGCCCCGCGGCGCCCGCGGCGGGCCCGGACCGCCCGGTGTCCGCTCACCTACCGGCCGAGCGCCGACTCCGCCACACGAGCGCGCCCGGGCCAGCGAAGTCGCGCCGCCGCCCCCTGAGCTCCGGGCCCGGCCGCCCCGCCCGCTCGCTGGCCACGCTTCCCCCCGGGGCGGTGACTTTACCCGGCTTCGCACCTCCTTCTTCGGGCCGCGCCGCCACCTTGGCCCCGCCCTCCCTTCCAAAATAGCGAATGAGACGTCCAGATGCGGCCTGCTTGTGTTTCCCTGTCTAGCAACGATTGGTTAACCAGGCTTGGTTTCCAGAAATGGGCACTATTTCCGGGCAAGATTTGTAGAGATTGCTGGGCGGGCCGATTGACAGGAGGCGGAGGCGGTGCGGTCGTGCACATGCGCACTCGGTTCCTGGCGCTCCGGATCGGTTGCTTTTTTGACTTTACGGGAAGGAAGGGAGACTGTGCGCATGCGTGGGCCCTCCCTGCGCGAACTCCGGTTACCTTGGAGACGGCAAGGCGCTCTCCCTCCCCGGCCTCGGGCTGCTTCCTCTCCTCGGCGGAGGCGAGGGTAGGGGGTTAGGAATGCTGTTCCCGACCACCACAGACCCCCTGAGGGCGAGGGAGAGGGTCACAGTGGTCCCTCGAAAAGCGTCGGGGCCCCGGGGTCCACGCGGAGCGGACCGTACATGCGGCCGGCCGAGCGCGGACGAGACCCGGGATTTGGACAGAGGCCGCTGTCGCAGTGCTCCGACCTGGTGGGGACAGGAGGGGAGGGAAGGCGGAGAGCCTTTCCGGCCTTTGCTGAGGTATTTCCTAGTGCTCCCACACGAGCTTTTGTTTTATTTGCCATAAAAACTCCAAACTTTATTATTTTTTTCCAAGATAGGTGTGTTCCTACCCTGGCTCCCCGATTCCATCAGGGTCCCCGCAGGCGGGCATGGGTGAATCTCCAGAGAGAGGGTCTGCCCAGGACCACTTGGCAGGACCCCCCACTCCAGGCCTCTCTCTGGAGGTCAGTAACTAGTGGATAGACGTCTGGCTGGGTGCTGGGGAAGCCGGTTCATGTAGGCGGGGTGGGAAACTCAACCTGAGGGCCCCATCTCCACCTGGGCCAAAAATAGTTTGTTCAGCTGGCCCAATGTCGTTTGCTTCTTTCTTCTTTCAAGACAGGGTCTTGCTATGTAGTCCAGGTTGGCCTTGAACTCACTGTTGTAGCCCTGGCTGGTCTTGAACTTGGGATCCTCCTGCTTCACCCTCCCAGGTGCTGGCATGACAGGTGTGTACCACCTCGTTTTGAGTGCCTTTGTGCAGAGCCTGCAGCTCCTCATAGGCCCCACCCCTGTTGTCTTATTCTCAGGCACTCAGTCTTGCATCTTGTCCCCCTCCACAGACAAGGCATGGCTTCTATAGAGCCTGTGCTTCCGAGCCGGGCAGACTCTGGGGGTCGTGCTGGTTGCCAGTGGCCTGCTGGGAGGTGGAGCCAAGAGACAGGTAGAGCTGGGCCCCCAGAGCTGGTTCACCACAGGGTTTTGCACTGCAGTGACTCAGGCAGAGTCAGAGTTGAGCCAGCTGTGCAGGTTGGTATCAGATCTGGGGTGCCTGTCTTGGCCCTCCCACACCTGCTTGCCTCTGGGCACACCACTTCTCAGGAAGGTCCTGGTGTGGGCCCAGATTCTGCACATGCTCTCTGGATAACTTGGCCTTTTTCAGCCTTCCTTCCTGAGGACCCCTGTGTCTCCAGCTTCCCTGGACATTCCTCTGGTCCCTACTCTCTCGAGTGGCCCAGCTGCCCCATCGGGACCATCCACCTCTACACCTGTGCACTACTAGCACTGATGTGCAGTGACAAAGGGAACTCTGTCGACCCAGCCCCAGCGCTGCAGCTCTGGAGAAGGAATTTCAGGTCAGGTCCCAGGGGAGAACAGACCACACTGCACACTAGCAAGGAAAGTGTTTGGGATGAGCAGGGCTTCTTGGTTTCAGCTGTTTTTTCCTCAGGTCTTTCTAAGCCTCAAGGTGTGTGAGGTGAGGTGAGAAACAGCCCAACCCCTCTCCCCACACAAGGGGGCTCTGCGGCACCTCTGAGCAGTGAGGAGCTCCCACACCTCTGGAAGGAGTGCTCCGGCCAGGCTTATTTCCTCCTTGCCCAAGTCTCGACAGCCCAGGAAGGCTTCTAGCTCTGACTCACTTGTGTAGCCTCAGCTCAGAATTAAATGAAATAGTTGACATTTACAGGGTGACTCACACCTGGAGAGTGGTGAGCTAAATTCTCAGTATTCAGGGGGTTTCACATCCCATCCACTTTAGATTTGGAAAGAGGAGGGGAAGACTGTGCCAGTCCTAAAGAATAGCAGCTTCTGTTTTTCCAGAACTTCAGAAAGTGAGCCAGACACTTACTCAGTGCTTTGTGCATGTAACCTCACTGAATATTCACTGTGCTCCAGGGTGTCTCAACCTAGCACTATTGACATTTTGGGTTAGAGAATTCATTGTTAAAGGGGAACTTCCTGTGCTTTGTACAGTGTTTAAGAGCATGTCTGGCCTCAGTCCACTAAATACCATTCATACCCCACCCTCCATGTCAAGACAAAAAATGTCTCCAGGCATTGTTGGATGTCCTCACAGGAGTGATACTGTGCCCAGGTGAGAGCTGCAGTCTGACTCCATAAAGTAGGTAATATTAGTATCATGCCTGTCTCATAGGCAAGCAAACCAAGATGTGGATAGAAGTGACCTGCCTGAGGTTGTGACTTCACTGTAACGAAAGGCCCAGGATTCAAAAGCAGGGCTGATCTCAGAGCACCTGCCCCAGTGCACGCAAGATCTGAAAAGAGCCTGAACGCATCTTCCACAGAAGGGTGATGAAGAGTGAGTAGATTTTGCTGCCCTTGCATCATTTGTCCTTTTCTATTTGTTTTAGATAAAGGAAGTTATATTCTGGCTCTTACTGCCTCAGTCAGCTGGCCCATGATATGCAGCCGTGTCCAGTGAGAAAGTGACCAGTAAATCATCTAAGTGCCTCAAGGTCCTGGGGCCTACATTCCTGTGAGACCCTGTGTTGGGAAGAGCACGGGGTGGGCGTTCCCAGAGGAAAGGCTGGTGCTGCCCCCCTGTGACTGCCACCACCCAGTGGTCTGTGGGAGGGCTGGGGATGGACGGACAGCTGGGAGTAGGGCAGGTGGGAGTGTTCACAGCGTGCAACTCGGACAGTGTGCCAGCCAGGGCAACCCATGGCCCGGCTGGCGGGTGACACTTCCAGCCCCTGGGGCCCCAGCTCTGTCACTCACTGTGGAGATGGCGGAGGGGAGGTCAGCGCAGCGTGGGTACGGGGGAGGGCAATGTTGTGGCAGAGGGAGGCCTGGGGCGGGGCGCAGCGGGGACTGGACGGACCTTCCCGAGACCTGAGACCGCAGTCCCAATCTCTGAGGGAGCCTTCTTAGGGAGCCCTGGCTTGATGCAATTCTTTTTCCTTCCCGATGGGTTTTCCCCCTAGGTTGCCTCCCCACCCCGGTGTCCTCTCCACATCATCCTCAACTCTGCTGGAGGATTTAGTCCGCCTGAGAGATTGTTCAGGTCATGCTGTCCCAGCACCTCTTGCCCTCCAGCATGTCCCTCCTTTAGTTTTTGTCGTCTTCGTCACTCTTGTTCCTCCTGCCGTGGCCGCCCTGGATCACAGGTGTGTGCCCCACGTCCAACTCTGTCTGTTCCTCTGTTAGGTTCTTCCTTTTGGCTCTGGGGAGGGAGCACAGAGCCTGCAGCCCAGAGCGAGCTTCCAGTCTGGCAGGCGGGTTGAGCTGGAGTGGACTGCAAACAGGACTGCGTCATCCCGAGGGCGGCCAGGGCGGTGCAAGGCGGGATGGAGTGTGCTGGGCCAGGCCGGAGCCAGCCAGGGCAGCAGACCCGCTCAGAGCTTTCAGACAGAACCAGCTGCCGGGAGCAGGTGCCCAGGTGCGGACAGCCAGGCCCCAGAGACTGCACAGCCCCGGCCCACCACTGGCCCCGGCGGGACCCCCGCCCTTGGCCCCGGGAGAAGATGGTTGCAAGGAGGGCTCCCCTCCCACTGTTCTGCCCCAGTCCCGGATGTGGGGAGCCCTGGCTGCTTCCCCTTCCCAGCCCAGCGCCAGGACAGGGGTGGCAGGGGACCCCCTTAGTGGAGAGGCCCCGGGAGGGTGTCCTGTGGAAGCTACTGTGGGCAGGCCGGGCAGGCTCCTGAGTCCCTGTGCTGCCGCTTCCTTTGCTCCCCAAGTTTCAGCCGTGAGCCTCCTGCTTCTCCACACTCTCAGCTCGGAGTTCTGATACACTCTTGGCTTCGCAGAGTCACTCAACAAACGTCTATTGAGCACCTACTGTGTGCCAGGCGTTGCGTAGGCCCTGGTGACACAGGTGAGCAAGTCTGAGGCCAGCCCTCCACGGGGGGACAGACAAGGATTCAAGGCAGCTTGGCGGGCAGAGGGACCCCTGGGAGAGGTGAGAACACATAGAAGAGGTCCTGGGGCCTTCCCGGAGGAGGTGACATGTGAATGCATGGCTGCCAGGTACACAGCAGTAAGCTGCTGTAGGAGGTGGAAAGCATTCTGGCAGAAAGAATCACACGTCCAAAGGCATGGACACGGGGCAGTCATGGTTTGGGAGCCAGGCGTGGTGGCACACAGCTATAAACCCAGCTATTTGGGAGGCTGAGGTAGGAGAATCAAATTTGAGGATAAACTGGGCAAGTTAGCAAGACTGTGTCCCAAAATTAAAAAAAAAATTTGGAAAGGGCTGGGGATGTAGCTCATGGTAGGGTGCTGGCAGTATAACAATACTAGTACTAACCCTAGGGGACCTGGGCCTGAGGTGCAAGGACTTGCATCCTGAGCTCCACACCAGGATTTCCCCGGCCCACAGTGCGCGTCCCTTCCTCTCCGCCAGCCCCCCGTGCTTCCTGCGTGCTCTGCATGAAGGACCTCATGCCAGTGTCCATCCCTCTTCTTGCAGTGTCCAGAGTCATGCTGCCTCCATCCTCACATTCCCGGTGGCGGGCTCCCCTGGGTCCCCCCTTCCTGCTGATGTCTCATGAGCACTCGCTCTTCCCCTTGCTTCCTCTTGTTTCCCCGAGTCCTTTGTACACTGCCTGTCCTTGCTCAGAACTCCATGGAGCCCTAGAGATGCCCAGAGGTGGAGTCCAGGCCCGGGCTCTGTGCGAAGGCCTCCCAGTCCAGCCCAGCTCAGCTCTGCTCCGTATGATTCCTCGAAGAGTCCCTGGGGCGCTGTTGTGGTGCTTACCCTGCCCTACCCAGTGGGTGCTGGGCACGCAGATGTACTCTTTGGCTTTGACCTATCAGTTCACACCCTTCTCCCCCGCGCTAGGGCAGGGTATCGAACTAAGCTACATCCTCAGCTTTTAAAAATTTTTTTTTGGTACCTGGGATCGAACTCAGGACCTTCCTTGTAAGGCCGTTGGTGGTACCACTGAGCTAAATCCCTGGGCCTCTTTTCTTATTTTTAATTTTTGAGACAGGGTCTTGCTAAGCCACTGAGTTGCCCAGGCTGGGCTTGAATTTGTGATCCTCCTGCTTCAGCCTCCCAGAGTGCTGGGATGACAGGTGTGCACCACCATGCCCGGCAAATCGCACCTATCCTAGTCCCTGATGAAATGCCTTCTCTCCAGGGGTCATGTTTCCCAGCTGTTTAGCCCCCCCCCCCATACAGAGGCACACACCTGGACAGAGCTCATCATCACCAGAGGGCTCCAGAGCAATCCATTTGAAAACTTTCCCTCAGATCAAGAACTTGCTATGGCTCCTTGTGTCAGCCACTTCAGAAACCTGTTCCTAGTAGGTTCCCAGCTGCACTCCTAGGTGTCGAGCTCCCCTACTGTAGCCCAGAATGCGGCCCGTGTTCACCTTCCACCGTATGCTGGAAGTGAGCCAACTCCCAGGGGAGGGAAGCTCTGTGACTGGGAGCAGTGCAGTGCGTGCTGGGAAGAGCCTCCTGCTCACAGGACCTCCACCTCTCCTTTAGGGTCAGAAGTGACTTTCTTCTCAGTAGTGACTTGGTTTGGAATGTGCCCCTGGCTCCCTGGCAGCTTGGGCAGCAGAGGGCACGTTTGGCCGGTGAGCTAGATGGACCAGGATGCCTGTGGCTCTGTCCCCTGGGCGGCCACCCCAGCTGCCATGCGCCCGCCCCTTGCTCTGTGACCTGTGCCCTTCCTCTGCCTGCGTGTGGACCAGCGTGTGGACCAGTGGCTGAGCCTGAGAGGGAGCACCTGGTGGAGGGACCCGCCCCTGCCGTCTTGACAGAGGACACAGCCACACTCTGCCAGCCCTGCCACTGCCGGCGGCCACTCCCTCACAGCCCAGCCTGGTCCTTGGCAGCCTCACCCCTTCTCAAGCCTTGTCTTAGCCAGCAGCCACCTCCCCTTCCAGCCCCCCAACCCCCATGATCCTTTAAAGGACCCCAGAGCCCCGAGGAGAGCATCCCGTTTGGTCTCAGCGCCACAGCAGCCCACTCAGGTTTGTTCTGAAATAAACCTGTCCTGTCGAGCTTGTGCCTTTCTTCTCCTTTCTTCCTAACTGGGATGGCAGAGCCCGGAGTCCCTGCTAGACACATGGAACCAGCCTGTGATCAAGGACATCCACCCCTTGGGGACCCCCAGCCTGCAGCTTCTGGTGACACGATAAAGCCCCTGAGCTGGTTTTGGGGACCTGCAACACTGGGCAGTACTGGGAGGCTGGAGGGAATGAGCCAACTTGAGGATTCCTGGCAGAGAAAAGTAGCCCTGAGCCGAGATGTACTTCGGTGACGCCTGAAAGTATTTCTAGTGAGTGCTTATTAGGGTTGGGCAGCATGGGAGGGAAGAAAGCCAGGTCTGCAGCCTGAGTGCTGAGAGCACCCCCTGCTTCCCGGGATGGAGCCAGCCCGAGAAGGCGAGGAGAACGGCCAGTCGGCCGGGGAGGTGGCTGGTATCAGTCAAGGATCCACGGGGTAAGGGCTGAACAGGAACAAGGTTTGCTTTGCCTAATTAAGACAGGATGCGCACATCAGGTGGAGAGAAAACCTCGATCCAGAGGTTAGGGAAAGACGCCTGTTGTGACCAGGGGCAGGCTCCGTGTGCCGAGCCCAGACGCTGCTTCCCGGACCACAGCACGCTGGAGGGCGTGTGGCAGCCGCAGCGCCGCAGCTCCCCAGCTCCGAGCCACAGTGAACTCACTCCGAGCTCGTCTTCCCAGTTCAAGCTCGTGTGTCTGTTTCTCGCGTAGTTGCTCTGCACGAATTCCAGAAGAGCACATTCCTCCTATCTCTGGTATCAGATTCTACTCTTTTCTGCTTTTTTTCCCAATACTGAGGATCGAGCCCACGACCTCACACATGCTAGGCAAGTGGTCCTGCCTACTGAGCTACATCCCTGGCCTTTTTTATTTTATTTTGAGACAAGGTCTCAACACGTTGTCCAGGCTGGCTTGAATTTGTAATCATCCTGCTTCAGTCTCCCATGTAGCTGAGATTATAGGCGTACACCAGCTAGTTCTCTCTTTTGAACCGACCATTGTGCCTACTTCTTGTGTTTTTCCAGATATATTTATGATTTTCTTTTTTTTTTTTTTTTGATACCAGGGATCGAATTCAGGATCTTGTGCTTGCCAGGCAGGCGCAGCGCCACTGAGCTAAATTCCCGGCCCCTCCAGATATATTTAATGTTTCTACAAACATATACATTCCTATAGCCTCTTTTCTTTTCTTATCTCTTTTTTTTTTGGTACTGGAAAGCAAAGTCAAGACTCATGCTTGCCAGGCTGGTATAGCTTCACTGAGCTACATCCCGGGCCCTATTTTTTGAGACAGAGTTTCTTCATGTAGTTCAGGCTGTCCTTGAACTCACTATGTTTCCTAGGCTGGTCTCCCACTCACAGCAATCCTCCTGCCTCAGCCTCCCAAGTGCTGGGATTGCAGGCGTGCACCATCATGCCTGACTTCCCACAGCCTCTTTTAAAAGGATTAATGGAAGCTTACCGTCCATGACTACTCATAACTTGCTTATTTCACTTGACACACCAATGAGCTCCACATACTACACCTAGAGTGGTCTCAGTCTTTATAAAGACTGCAGGCTGTTCGGTTTATGGCAGAATAGAATTTATCTGCTCTTCTCCTCATGGACTTCCTCGTTTCCACCATCTCCTAGTATAAGAATTGCTGCAGTGAGAGTCCCTGCAGCTCTTTCATTTTGCATGTTAATTAATCCATGCAGTCCACCAACATTCATGGTGCAGCTGCTGTACGCCGGGTCAGCTCTAGGCGCTGGCGGAGGGAGCAGTGAACACGGAACAGCAACTCAGTCATGAAGAGGCCCAGGACACATTCCTAGGAGCAGGCCACAGTTCCTTCAGTCAAGTCAGAAGGAAAGTCTCACTCTGCAGGTGAAGCTCACCTTGGCACCTCTGAGGCCTACTGCTTCTCTGTGACACTCGCTAGTTGCTCAAGTGTCAGGGCTGCTGGCTGCAGAGCCCAGCCAGAGTTTAATAACTGGTTGGTCATTACTGGTTCCCACCTGGGCTCTGGGAACTGAACCCAAGGAGCCCTGAGCCATGTTCCCAGCCCTTTTTAAAAGATTTTACTCTGGAGGCAGTGTCTCCCTGAATCGTGCAGGCTGGCCTCGCATTCCCGATCCTCCTGTCTCAGCCTCCGGAGTAGCTGGGATCATAGACATGTGGCACTGCACCTGGGTGTAACTGGATTTATTTTTACACAGCAAGTCACACTGATTTTCCATCTACATTCAAAGTACTAAGATTCCTTTCAAAATAATTTGTTACCAAAAAAAGGTGAGACAATTTGGAGAAAAATGTTAAGTGAATAGCACAGGTGGAACTCAGATGCGCTGTGCAGAGTGGGGCGAGGGAGTCACTGAAGTAAACAGTGAGGAGGTGAGGCACTGGGTGTTTACTCTGTGTGCTTGCTCAGCGTGGGCATGAAGTGGAGTTACCTCCATCTTCCCCTAGGCAGCTTCTCTGCTTTCTTTGTTATTGCCCGTGATTTGTTCATCTTTATGTATGCTTAGATTTTACCTATGCTTAGATTATGTATGCTGAGCTTCTGGTCATGAAAGCCTTTTGTCTGGTTTAATATATATATTTCTTGGTACCGGGGATCAAGCTTGGGTCCTTCTGCTTGCAAGGTAGGCGCTGGAACCACTGAGCTAAATCCCCGGCCCAAGTCTGGTTTAATATTTAATAAACTAGGGGAAAAAAAAGCAGACAAGAGTAGAATTTGATACCAGAGATAGGAGGAATGTGCTCTTCTGGAATTCGTGCAGAGCAACTACGCGAGAAACAGACACACGAGCCTGAACTGGGAAGACGAGCTCGCCAAACCTTGTTTTTTTTCCAATACTAGGGGAGACTGCTGTGTACACAGAAGCAAGGAAGAGGGTTCTGCACAGGGCAGGAGAAGGAGGATCCTGCACAGGGCAGTGTAAAGAGGGCTCCGGCCAGGGCAGGACGGCAAAAGCCCTTCACACAGGAGGAAGGGAGCTGGCTACATACACAGCAGGGAGACAGAGGACTCTGCACAAGGCAGGGAGGGACACCCCTCGTTTAACAACCAAGTCTGGCCTGTGACAGGCTGTTCAGTGAATCGGTCACTAAATGGGGAGTTGTACACACTATGCACACTGCAATATTCAGAACAAAGAAACTGTCAAAGGAAACTTCAACTTGATGACTTTGCTCTATTTGCATAAGTCTTACGTGCTGCACTGTAATGTATAACGGAACATAAAACCACAGTACTGTACTGTGCAGGACAATCAGCAAAAACTACAGGGCTGTGCTGCCAAAGAAGCCACTGTAGGGCTGCAGTGCCACTCATGGTCCCGTCGTAAGTCTGAACAGTTGTTAACAGGCAGGTCATTAAACGAGGGCTCTCTGCAAAGTCTTACTACTGCTGTGCAAATAGCGTTGACCTTGCCGACTCCCGAGAGAGTCCTGGGGGCTTCCAGGGGTCCCCAGGACCATACTTTGAGGGAACTGCGATACTAACACACTTGGCTTTTCCATATAGCCCAGGCAGGCTTCTTCCATTACATTTACAGGTATGGAAACTGAGGCACATGACAGCCAAATAACTCACCCAGGGCACTTAGCTGGAAAGTGGCCAAGACAGGGCACAGGTGCAGTCAGTCTGCATGAATGAGGAGCAGAGTTGTGCCTGTCACCAACTGGATGTGTTGTCCTGGGCAAATGCTCTCTTGTGTGTCGTCCTCCGGCTAACCCACTGTCCCTGCCCCAGGCTGGGCACTCTGGTCTCATGATGGGCCCTCATCTGCTCCATTGGCGTTTTCTCTTTCTGCTCACTCTCACGTCATTGGACCTGCACCCAGCAGGGCGGCTACCACATCTGCATGGCTTGCTGTACTGCTGGGGTCTGAAACAGCTGCTCAGAAATCTTTGGTGGGTTGAGTGCAGTGGCCCACACCGATAAGCCCAGCTACTCAGGAGGCTGAGGCAGGAGAACAGCAAGTTCAAGGCCAGCCCAGGCAACTTAGTGAAACCCTGCCTCAAAATAGAAAGGGTTAGGCATGCAGCTCAGTGGTGCAGGGCCCATCTAGCATGCAAGAGTTCCATCCCAAGTACCATGAAAAGGTGTTTGCGGGAGAAGGAAATGATGACTGGTGAAACAAGGTAGTCGCAGGGCTCTTTTCTGTGGCTCCAGGAGGGAAGGAGGACAAGGATGGGGGAAAGGGTTACAGTGATCTGTCCCCAGACTGCACTTACACCTGCTTGTGCAGGCCTGTTGCATTGTCATTCCAGGACAAATCACAGCTGTCTCCTCCCCGATTCCCCAAAGATGCTGCCTTCTGGGCCTGTCCCTGGGTGCCCGGTCGGTTCGGCAGCCCCAGACAGTCCTTGGTCTTTTTAGAACTTCGGAAGAGGCTGGAGGTGGAATGCGTGGGCTTGTTTTCCTCCCTTTCTCCGTTAGGTGATGTGAGTTACCAGCAGGCCTCCCACCCTACTTTTCTGACGGTATAACCTGCTATTTTGTGCCCTATGTGGAGATGGGACGAAGGTGCCACACATCAGCTGGTGCCTGACTGGACCTGGGCTGGATTCTGGAGGCCAGGGCCGGGCAGGTGGGGGCCGTGAGCCAAGCCAGGGCCTTGCAGCTTCCTCTGTTGCTCTCAGCGGGTCCTTTCCAGCAGTGACCTTCTAGGATTCTCAGAAGGCCGAGAAGGAGAAGTGTAACTAGGGGAAGACGGAGCAGCGCAGAGAGCTCAGCCAGGACGGCCAGGAAGGTCACCGCTGAGCGTGGCACAGGGCGCACCGGAGACCTTTAAGGAAAGGCCAAGGAGCCGCTCAGCTGATTCCTGGAACCCTGCCCTGTGGAAGAGCTTGTGGAGGCCACGGACTCACGCCTCACAGGGCTGAGACCGAGGTGAGAGGTGGCCTGGCTGCCAGCTCTCCTGGGCTCTGGCAGCTTCCAGGCTGGCTCCAGGTCTTCCTGGGTCCCAGCTCACTCTCGTGGGAGGGTGGCTGCCAGCTGTGCC